GATGTATGTTGTCTGGTGTCTGTTGTCTGTTGTCTGTTGTCTGTCTGTTGTCTAGTGGCTGGTGGTTGGTGTCTGGGATCTGGTGTTTGGTATCTGGTGTCTGGGATCTGGTGTCAGGTGTCTGGTGTCTGGTGCCGGTACCGGCCTGCGTGTGGTGTGTGTGGTGTGTCTGGTGCCAGTACCGGCCTGTGTGTGGTGTGTGTGGCGTGTCTGATGTTTGGTGTGTCTGGTGCCGGCACCGGCCTGCATGTGGTGTGTGTGGTGTGTATGGTGTGTCTGGTGCTGGTACCAGCCTGCGCGTGGTGTGTGTGGTGTTTGGTGTGTCTGGCGCATGCCGGTTGCAGCTTCATGTCTGTGGCTATCGGGGAGAAGACCTGCTGGCTTGGACGTATCGGCGGATTCAATATTGCTGTAGGGCATTGGCGTTTTGGTGTCAAATTGCTACATCAAAACAAATGCAGTAAAGAATCGAATACAATCTGGTGCGTTCAAACGTTACCGGGCTCAACACTTCACTGACAACAGCCGTCGCTGCAGCCATGTCTAAAGATAAAGGCTTGTTAGAGGGAGAAGCGACCGGTCCAGGGGTCACCAGCAGCACGATCGCACGTGCTGGCTGCTCTCTCCAGCCGAAGGTTGGCGTTTCGCGTCGGTCTCCTTATAATCAGATTTATGATCGCTTATGGATCAGTGGACATTTTTGAGACACTGCTGCAAAGCCCCTGCTTGACATTGTCACCCACTTTCTACCAAGCCGCGCTCGACTGTTCGCCGAAAACTTTGTCGCCCGGCCATTGGGAGCAGGGGAGGGGGAGGGGCCTTCAAGAGCTCCCATGACCTTGAGAACCATGCGTGACAGATAAAAGAAAGGAACACCATTCGGAACACCACATCGGGTGGCGCTCAAAACTCATTGGTTTGACAGTCTGGTTTTGTAGCCTCTGGTGACCTTGTTATTTAACAGACTGTCAAACCAATTCGTTCTGAGCAAGTAATTTCAGGTAATTAACATTGTCTTTCAGACAAATTATAACATATATAATAAATATGTCACATTATATATATATATATATATATATGATATATTTATTATATATGTTATCATTTGTCTGAAAGACAATGTTAATTACCTGAAATTACGCGCTCAGAACGAATTGGTTTGACAGTCTGTTAATATATATATATATATATATATATATATATATATATATATATATATATATATATGAACTTAAAACACAGTAACAAACAATATATAAAAATATAACATAGATAAATCAATAACAAAGTAATTTCACACCTGTATGCCCATAGCAGGTTATTTGGAGACAACCACCATCAGTGACCTCTAGGGTTGATTTACTAGTGCACGTCGTGTCTCATCAAACCAGAGGGCTGGTCAATAAAAGGTGGAAGACATGAAGATACACACTGAGGATGAATGACTGTGCCATCACATTGGTAGATGGCGCTGTTTGACCATTTGCAGCGTTAAGTGGAACATCTTTGTCAAAATGAGCCAACCAGTGTGTGTTTGGCTCGACCTTAGATCACCTTTTGCAAGTTTATGTTTCTCAAATGACGTTTCCAACGTTGAAGTTTAACCGCGAATGAGGTCGAAACAGGGCAGGCCAAATATGACAAATTTCGTTTGTTTAGATAGCAAAATTACAGATGCATGGCAACGTGCGTACATGGACCGTTTATAACTATAACTAAGTGAGACTAGAAAATTGTTTATATAAAAGCCAGCCCACTTCCCTTCACTGGCATGACATGAAACCACATTGAACTACCATGTGGAACGCCATAATGGTTTCTGTATATGTTTGTGGGTGTAAAGCGACATAACACATGCAATTTATTTCAACATAATGTTTCGAAAAATTCTAGATCATGTAAGATCAAACCGGGTCTGGTCAGCCAGGCAATTTTAATTTAGGTAGCTTCTGAATGCCTGCCTCTGGCGCAAAAGTATTTCAAAAATACGCTACCCAAGTTCATAAGAAAGAACAGCTTACTATATCAGCTACCTAAAAAGGCGACAGCAAAGGTCAAGATCGCATTTGACCTTGCCGTGGTCAAGAATGTTTGAGATAAGCCTGGTCTCAAAACATTTATAACACATTTTTGCGGCGTTTTACCAACAAATCACGTAAAAGGTTATTCTTTGGCAAAGGTTTGGAAACAGCAGAAAGAGAGCGAGAACCCAGGCCAACGACTAAGATGATTATTTGAGCTAATAGAGAGCATAATAGTTACATACCATACATAATAATAGCTACAGGTAGTAAATGTTTCCGCTATTTTCATTTGCTGCGATCGATTGCAATCAAGATGAATGACGTCAATCGAAGTATTTTTGGGCATACTCCTCG